TTGCAGAATCACTGTGACATCTACACACCAGCCACTGTTAATGTAAAAACAAACACCACCGCCTTTCGTCTTGCCGGAGAGTGCTATGTCACGGTCCGATCTTACAAGATGGAATCCTGCCAGTTGTAGCGCAGTGTCCGGAATCAAATCACACAGCCATGTCTCCGTGAAGCATTAAACAGAAGATGAAAGAAAGTCTCTGTTTTCACCATAAGTAGCTGAAGTTCGTTCATTTTGTTGCACAGTGAACGTACGTTGGAGAGGAAAAAGCTCGGTAGCACTGTTCAGATCCCGCGTCTGTGTAGCCGTACTAGAGCCCCCGACCGTTTACCCCTTGGGTGGCGTTTCGCTGCTTGAGCAAAGCCTAGCGCGGCTTTGACTAGAATGCCCACTAATTCTGCCACTGGAAACAGAAGAGTGGGAAATAAATCCACAGGAATTGTTTCCCTGATGTTTAAAAGTTCGTCTCTTGTTAGGGAACTCCGAAAATCTTGGCAAAACACTGAATTAACAGACAAAACAAGACAAAACGGGGCTACCATCATCGGCGCCATCTTCTCACCAGTACGGGTGTGCTGAACAGCAGGCCTCTCTCACCAGCACGGGTGTGCTGAACAGCAGGCCTCTCTCAATAGCACGGGTGTGCTGAACAGCAGGCCTCTCTCACCAGCACAGGTGATCAAGCAAAACAAGACAAAACCGGACAAAACAGGGCTCACCAACCGACCGAGGCTGCCATCATCGGCGCCAACTGCACCAATGTTCTAACCCAAAAACCTTTATTATGAACAAGACAAGTGAGTTGTGCAGATATCAATCCACTTTCAAAACGATATTGGACAATTTACTTCCATTGGCCATGTGAACACAAATTGTTATCGCTAACGTTTAACCGGGGTGGAGTGGGTGGCCTATTGATTAGCACGCTGTGCAATGAACCCAAACTGTCCAGCGTGGTGAAGTATGGTCAAACGACTCCCACAATCGACATGGCACGGGGAAGCCTTCACCCAGCAGCACATTGACAAAGTGCTGTCAATCATATTTTGTGTTCAACATTTTTTCCATGTAAATTTCCCTCGGTTGTATTTCAATCGTGTTATTTGAGTCTTCATCAGACGAACAATCCGTTTGGAAATCTTTCAGAGCAGTGACCATTTATGTTAGAGAATAACTGTCGGAAGCGGATATCACATTCTACGTCTGAGATACCTTTAAGTGACCTGGACCACACAGTAAAAGGCAGAACGTTCCACCCACTTCGCCACATGGAGAGTAATAATGTTCGTCACGTGACCGGCAAAGCAATATTTAAATTCTCATTGCTGGAATTTAACCAAATTAAATGAAGTGGATAATCAATTTGATATGAAGAGGTTTTTTTTGTGCAATCATCGGTGAACGGGCCACGACAATTAACTTGAGAATCCAGTTTAACTACAGTTGTGTGGCTAAAACTTGGATTAAAACCCAGCATTTCAGTGGTACCACCTCAGCACTCGGAACTCTTGAGCCAACCCGCCACCTTTCTCACTATATGTAACCACACCAGGTTAGCCAACTGGTCATGGCACGTGGATTAATATGAATGCAAATCTTAGAGCGCATTTTTTTGCTATCCATTGAATATCGCTGGCTTTATTTTAATTTCATGCTGCAGATTCATGCCTTTAAAATAACTCTGGAGCAGCGAAACGCCAACTTTGCCTCTTCCCTGCTTGCTGCAGAGATTAATAATAGCTCTTCCAGTCACACTTTTAGTTCCACTAATACAGTGCATGGATATTCATAGTTTGTACATGAGGCCACGGTGGTAAAGTTAAAATATACAGAGCTGGATATTTAATTACTGAAATGGAATTATGCAGAGGCCACGTTTTCTTGTGCATTTTTTTATTTTAAATTTAGCAGGACTTTTGAAAATCCATTTCGAGTGCCAGCACCCGTGCCGTGTTTATTTTTCCACCGAACGACAGCATCTTGTAATGTGTAAACGGGTTAATCCACTGCGGAATGTTGGGGCATTGCTGAGCGAGAAAACATGGAACTGGATTATGCCTTTTGAGGACTGGAATATATTGCGCCAATGTAATTTGTGTTCTCAAAGTATTATATTCTAGCTGTGCTATCGGCGTCATGGCACGCATATATATTATTTTATTCTCATTCTACGTGACTTTACCGAAAGAACCAAAGAAGATGAATCCTTGCAGTCACGAAAGCTTTAAATCGAAATTTTACGCATATATTTTTCACGTGTTTCTACTCTGCAGCTAGCAGTGCATCGCCCTGTGTCAGATAATGTTCCCAAACAATGACAGAACTGGCAATCATTGGTAAGTGAGAATCAAGATTTAATCGTGGGTGTCTGCCCAGTTCCGAACCCAGGAATCTCAGCAGTGCTAGCTCACGACTATGAACCTGGAGCATTGGTGCTTTAGCAAATAATACGTAATCGATTTAATTTCAGTGGAGGTGGAACAATTAAGATCACGAAAAATACATCAAATCACCTGTGTGTGTATGAATCAATGTTATGATTTTCCTAGCCGGGCGGTGGTAGTTATGCACATGGCCTGTAATCCAGCACTGTGGAGCCGAGGGTTGCTTGATCACACGAACTTTGTGGAACCCCTTACTCATTGGGCATCGATGTGCCCATATCCTGTCGAGCCAGGAGAAGGTGGTACAGCAAAGCGCCGATGAATATCATCCGTCTTCTCCGGGTCCTCCGGTTTTTCCCTCCACATTTAGAATCAATATGCGCTTAGAGTATTTGGCTGATATAAATGTCCACGTAATAAGCCACTTCGTTGGGGTATCACTTGTCGCCAGGTCTCTTCTGGAAAATAGCTATATAGCTCAGTGGGCCTGATCTAGTAAAATAAATATATATTTAGTTTAGTTTTAATAGAATGTTTCCACCTCGCAAGAGTAGGATTTCTCCAGGTGCTCCGGGCCTCCCCTCGCATGCAAACTCTTGTGAATTTGCTGAAAACATCTTGATCTAAAAAAACAACTATAATGTAGGACCCTAATTTAAAAAAAAACACATCGCCCTTGAAATTGAATTCGTTGCTGGGGTTGAAGGGTCGATTTATATCGATTGTCATTGTGGCGCGTGCAGACTCTCTTAGACGGGTTCAGAGGTCACGTGAACCAATTTTCACGTGATGCGCCCGAATTGTAAACGATAAATCTCTCACTTTAATAATGCGACGCACGCTTTGAAGTACATGCCCTATACCCGCGATGCGCCAAGTGATTTAATTCGAGAAGCGTCAGCCCCTTACCAATGCACTGCTGGACGACACGCCTCCCCGCCCTGTGTCAGTTGCTGCGCATTGTTTACCCATACTTCACCACGCCTATCGTCAGTTGGTCACCCGCGAGGTATCCAACCGGAAGGGATCTTCGGGGCAAAGCCCCCTGCCTTGATGCGTGCACCTAAAGCTGCCCCTGGGGCTTCGATCGCCCGTGAAGCTTCTGGGGGCCACGACCACCGGAACCGCACACAAACCACGGCAGCAGATGCGGTTACTTGATGGACGCATGGACATTTTTTTTTTTAAACCTCTCTGGTGTGCGGAGACTGTTGTCGCCCAGAACAGACCACGGGACCATATGCTTGGACTCACTGCCCGGTTCACAGACACAAAGGGAGGCATCGTCAGGGTGATCCCACTACTCCTGATGCAATGATCTGGCCCAACCACCTCAATGTAAAATTATAGCTGCTGCTGCTGCTACCGCTGCTCCAATCAACATCAGCCACACGAAGTTTTGCGGTGCGACCGAATCGCCGAGCGGATAGCTTGAGTGGAGTCTTGTCTCTAGTCTGCAACCAGCTCGAGCTGTGCACAGATAATGATTCGTCCCCGGGTCATAGCAGGAGTTGGTATGACCTAAGGTAGCAAATATTTGGCCTACCGATGTCTTTACATGACCGATGAAAGTTAATTAAATTTTGATTTAAAGCTTTCGTGACTGCAGGGATTCATATTCTTGGTTCTTTCGGTAAAGTCACGTAGAAGGGAAACAATAAAATAATAAAAATATAAAGCAATAAATAATATAAAAAATAAAGCATTCTTTATTTATTTTATTATTTTCCTTCTACGTGACTTTACCGAAAGAACCAATAATATGAAAGTTAATTACTTAATAAGTCACTCATTGCAACAGGTTATCACACAACTCGCTGTTATTGGTAACATCAAGACATTGGAACCCGCTATGGCTTTACCAGCTCAGGTGGGTGCCGCGGAAGAGCGATGTTAACGACCTCACCTGGTATACAGGAGGTCGTGGGTTCGAACCCAACACTGACGGCTGTAGATTTGGAGTTTGCGTCTCTCTCCCCGTGGTCGCGTGGGTTTTTCTCCGGGTCCTCCGGTTTTTCCCCTCCACATTTAGAAACATGCGTTTAGAATATTTGCCTGCTATACATTTCCACGTAATAGGCCACTTCGTTGAGCCGTCATTTGTGGCCAGGTCGCTTCTGAAAAATATCTACAAACACTCAGTGGATCTTACCTGGTGACATAAAAATTTTTAAAGCGGTACTGAGCGGTGAGAAACCATGCCTGGGCTCGTGGACTATATAGAAGCGATTCGGTCGCAAGCAACCAAGGCTTATAATAGGGTTTTTCCCTTTTTTCTGGCAACAAAACTGAAACCTTTTTAAAAGGATTCATGTCTGCATTAACCACAATACCTGCAGTCAAAATGCAAACAAAAAACATACTATGATAATATATGCATTGTCCTTGAAACTGATTGCTCCACACCAAGGGACGACTTTCTTTTGAGCCTCGACCCAATTGGTGCTCGACCAGATGACGCCAGAAGGCGAACGATCAATGGACGTGACATTTTAAATGCGCCACGATCGAGATAAAAAAAAAGCTGAGACAATGTACGTTCAACTTCTTTCTCACCGTACATAGCCAAGGCAAAGAGCAGTGGACGAAGAGAGGCACGGCGAGTGTACGGCGTGGGACGTTTTCTCAGCTTTGTTTTTTATTGAAAATGTGTACGAAAAAGAAGCAAAAGGAAAATATGAAGCGTATTAGGGATTGACCGCCAACTATATAATGCGATCGAAGCGACAACAACACTCGAGCAAAAAAAGAACCCGGAAAGTTCCCGGGCCATTCGCCGCGCGCACTTGCGACGGCATCTGTGGGATTTCCTTTCGGACGTTCACCCTGGGGGTGGTCCGGTCGCCACAACGACAACGAATGGATGTAACTGAAGTTTAAGATAATAGTTATTAGAAACCCCCCACCGAACAAAAATGAAAGCAACACAACATGTCACCATGTTGTGTTGTTTTTGTCGTTGTAAATGGAACTTAGGCGGTGGTCCATTTTAAATGTTAATTTATTGTTTTTTTTGGGTTGGGTACTTCGATGAAGCCAGTGCAACGATTTATTGCCAATATTTCATCGTAAGTTAATATTTATTTCATCGTAACTTTGATTTAAGGGGTGACATCACATTCCTCGTCGCATTAAGGTGGCTACGCTAAAACAAAACAGTTGGAATGTTGACAGGGCTATCGCTAGGCCAGGCTCCAGCTTATCTCAGTTGGAGGTGTGGGGGGTAGATTGGATACTGTTGCTGCAGGCAGCCACAGTAACAGTTATTCACCGCTAAGGGAGCGTGGACTTGGATGGGGGGGGGGCAGCGGTGGTGTGGGAAGCCAAAGCGAAATTGCGTGGTGCAAGACTCACCCCATCGCCCGCCTATTGTAAGCCCTGACTATCGCAGGTATTTCGATGAACCCAGTGCAGCGAGTTATCATCAGATTGATCGTGAACTTTGACCTGTCGTGGCATCACATAATAGTCTCCAAGAAGCTCTGCAAAGCGAGCATCATTTTGACACAGCCATTATTCAGATCCGCTACCGGATTTCGAGACTGGATTTCAATAGACGAGTCGATGCGTCGTCAGGACGGGACGGGGAGGCATCTTTGCTAAGAATCCGTCGCTAACAGACACCCACAGCTGAGGGATTTGCGGCGATTACCTGCAAAAGCCTTCTCTCACCGGCGTCAAGAGGTTAGGATGAGCGACAGGATGAGCCGTGTTCGGTTAATTGGCTGTGCCGTGACCGCAGGTCCTGTGCGGGCTGGACATAAGTGGCGAGTGGGGGGGCAGGGTTGGAGGGAGCCCCAGGTGGCTATAATGAGGGGGGGGGGGCGTTAGACAGGTGGTCCCAGGTAAAATCCTGCAGCAGCAGCAGCAGGGGGCCCCATGCCAGCCACGCTCCGGCAGCAACCCCTGGTACCACCACCGCTCTGAATGGCGAGCGGCGTGTCTACTTCGCATTACCGGAACACGCAACCGACTCCAACCGTCATCTAGACGAGAAAATCGACGTCGTTGAATTCGATTTCCGGATAAACACCGCTGCAGAGTGTGATGAATACAAGCTGGTAAATTGGTTTGCGAGGGGGGGGGGGGGTCTAAGCCCGTGACTTGCACCGTGTTAGCCGCCCACCCCACACGAAGCCTCACGGCGCCCGAAAGTCTCGGCGCTTCTCGCCTGTGGCAGACGGCCAATGGGACGACGGTGATGCCGCTCCACAATTTCACAGCCTTGGGGGACCCCCCCCCCCTCGGACCCCCCCCCCTGCCCTCCGGACATCGAACAACAGATGGACGGTGAACTAATGCGCAGTGTAGCAAGCGGAAACAATCTCTCCCAAACACTTTTACCGTTAGCGAAAATAAAAACAAAAAAAGTGCAGACGTTTAAACAATTCTTAATCGCCTAATTGTTTACGGAAGTTTCTTTTTTTTTCCTGTATTATTATTCATGTCTATATTCTTTTTTTATGCACTTTGGTGAAGATATTCTATTGGAAATAAATAAGCGTGGTTTTAAGAAAAAAAAAAGATCTATTTGTCGCAGCACGCGTACGCTGTGATACATAGGCACAGGATACAAATCGTACTTGCGTGCGTGCGCGCGCGTGTGTGTGTAGTAATATAAGCAGTTTTATATTTTTGTATTTTTTTGTTTTTGTGCCACTACGACTACCGCTAAACGTTACACTGTTATCGGATTACGTTGCCGTATTGTTTCATTTTTTCTCTCGCCATTAACATATGATGCGTGATACATGTGCCCCCTTTAAAAAAAAACTAAGCGACGTACCTACCTCCCTAGATAATGAAACTACAAGCGCCACCCTTCTCTCGGGCCAATCTCGACACTTTCTCTCTTTCCCCCACGCTCTCTCTTCACTCTCTGCCTGCATGCGCCGAAAGAGGCCGGCTGTAACCCAGCGAGGCCACAACCAACAACGCCGTTGCAATTTGCCTGCTCTTACCAGGTGGACCAAACTAACCCACAGCTCAACTGTCCTCGTGTGCCAACGCCAGTGATGATCATCTGCACCAATTCGGTCTCAAATGAGTACGTGGTGGCCACGCGTAAACATCGCCACCAGGGAGACAAAGGCTGCCGGACGTGGTGCTGGCCACCCACCCCCTCATATGCTGTGAAGGGCGCTAACATTTTAAGAGTAAATATTATTCAATATTTAAAATGCGCCCTGGTGGCACGTATCTCATGGGTGGCACACGAATATGAGTCGCGTATCGGATAACTTGTAATTTCAACAGGAACCAAATTGTTCGCTCCACCAAGCTGACTTCACACAAAGGATAAGTCTGGCCAGGTATAGATATCCACGGGTTGAACAGAAGCGTGAAGATGCACATTCGTCTGATGGTGTTGTGGCATTCACCCGTGTAAAATAGCTTTATAGCTAATCGGATATCTCCAGGATAAATAAAGATTCTGGTCACGATTCGTTGTGCCACCTTGCTCTCTGGAACCTAAACGCCACCGTGACATAGGCTGGCGCACGCTGGCATCTCCAACCCATGCCCAACTTGCAACTTTGCCCACCTCTTGACTCTAGCCCGTCAGCGTCTGCGATTTCCCATCACTCGTCAATCTCCTTTGAGGTTTTTGAGCCTCGCACATTCTCTCTCGTCCTTGATAAAGTTTCCGTACAGGAGGATGATGCGAGCACCTCTCTGCACGATCCCTAACCCTGTGTGTGCAAAGTAAGAAAACCCCATCTCCTTTACATGACGTCTGCGATCCTCCGTTTGTATCTCCAATTCCATTTTAGGGAACTAGAAATTGTCCAATGGGAAGAGCCAGCAGAAACGCAGCCCCCCCCCCCCATCCCCTTGTCCAGTGGGTGCTACTCGAGGTCTTTCAAAATAGCCCCGAGTGCGCGATCTCGCAAAAGCCCACAATGCACCATTGCACAACCGCTTCTAAAAAAACTACTTCCTTTGCTCGTCCCTTTTGCCCCGTTTCTGTTTCCTGTCGGGCGTTGAGATATCAATAAAAAACAATATCAGTGGAAGGGGGGTGGGAGAGGGGCTGGAAGGCCCTTCCGCCCCCTCCCTTCCATCGTTTCTGTACGATCCTCGTGCAAACAAGCGAAGCCGGCTGCGACAAGATTCCACAAATCTTGCTGCCACCTGATGATGCCGGTTGTAATTACTGGCAAAACGTCGTACTCTGATTGTACATGTTGTGGATTTGCTCTCCAACACACAACCGGTGTGGCTGTACTAGTAACGAATTGGCACGTCCTGTTTCTGTGACAAACCTTACACATTTATATTTACGCGATCTAACCCATAAAAAAAACCCTCTTATGGATGATATTGGTCGCAAAAGCCTCCTCCTACGTGCTAAACTGACGAGCTTCTACTGGGCAATGCGGTGGCGGTGGACGTAGAATGCTTATCTTTTTGCAAAGTCTGATGATCGCTAAATATTGCAGGGCAGGACGAGGTGGCGGGGGGGGGGGGCTCTTTGGCAAATGACGTTTGTGCTCACGTGGGGTTTCCTATCGACCCCGTGGCACGCCGCGGCTCCGTGCGTGCGTGCCGAGTCTAAGCTCTCGCACCCCCCCCACCCCGCACCACCCTAGCGTGCGTTTCGGTGTGGGGGGCTGGATGAGTTGTGCTGCGCGCCGCCATCCGGCGCGATGTCTCTCGACGTTTGTCCTCCACGTGCCGGGAATGAAATTCGACAGAGCTCGTGCCGCGCAAGCGCAGCGGAAACGTCCGTCGTGCGAGGGCAACCGCAAAACAAAACAACTCACGCGGCCGTCGAGCGAGCGTCGCTCAACAGGCGCCACCGCCGCCATCGTCAAATCCTTCCAGCGTCCGACAGAAGTCCTCTCGTTCATCAAGCACTCGCGCCCCCCCCCGCCTCTCTCTCTCCCCTCCCACGCCCTCCTATCCCTCTCTGCTTTCTTCCTCTCCAATGTCAACGATAAGCAAGTAAAAGCTCAGTAGGACTATGGATGAGCACTGGGAAATGTTCACCCGGGCTTTTGCCGCGAGTGCCCGTCGCGTTACTATCGATAGCTGACAATGATCATTTAACTTTGGACAAAACGTTGAGGAATTAACGCGTCGACTAATTGACAATTGTTTGTGGACCGCAAGGTGTAAACAAGCTCGCACGTGATTCAGAAACGTGATTTTTTTTTTTAAGCACGCGCACACGCGTCACAAAAAAAAAATCCCCGCTTGCCAAATGTGACTCGACGACTAAAATGTGCGTGGTTTGCCGCCGGATCTGCTTCGCTTGAATTTGAAATCGCCCAAGTATGCGAACGTTTTTCAGCGTTTGCCCCATTACGTTTGGGTTTTTGTTACTTTAAGATACTCCTGCACGCGATTCGGTGTGCGGAGACAAAAAACGAGGAGTCCGCGGGGGCACATCCAGAAGCCCTCGTGTTTACCAGTGCTCATCCTTTTGAGGAATAACGAAACGGAATATATATAGCTATTAAATAAACTGCGAGTAACATACATTTCTGTTTAAAGCCATTATATAAATGATATTTTTTTTTGTTTTCCTTAAAAAAAATTATAAATACAAAAATGAAATTGCTGGCGTGGGAGATGTTGCGCAGTTAGAAGATCTTTCAGACTTCATTCACGTATTGCTCCAAACCTGAAAAAAATAAACAATGCAGAATATTTAGAGGATTTTCCATAGACAAGTTATAACTTATCTTGTGAGTTAAATTATTCGCTACGACGCCAGTGCTTATTATCTGTTGTGTATTACATAACTTTGCGTTGAACTAGGACCCATATGTTATAAGAGATGGTCCTTGTCTATAAACATCTGGCAGTTCACCAGTATTGATTCAAGAAGGTCCGACGCTGCTGATGCGACACTGTATGTTGAAAGCGGTCCAGCATTTTGCTTTTACCAAATCAATGCTGCTGAATGTATTCAATCCCAGAAGGCTATCGTGCGAATGGGTTGTAAGAGATATACTTTTAGAGAGTTCTGGTTGCCATTGTGCATGTATCGTGGATTCATATCGATTCCCAAAACCCCACAAAGACGTCCATCGAATCGCGCGTGAGAATCAATGATCCTCGCTTCATTCCTGTTGCATTCATGTCATGTGTTCACGTTGCACCTGCAGCCACTAAAGGCAGCTAGAATATCCACCACGATAGAAAAATAGCGGCTCGGCGAGTCATATCGCGACCTCTCCGAGGTGATTACTATTCATCAGCTCGTCGGGTGGGAGGTTGAATCCGCGGCAAGCCCAACAGCATCTATTGTCTCCGGAGAGAGCGGCGAACTTCCAAGCATTCCTGGCGACATAGTGGACGTGTGTGGCCACAGACACCTGCGTTGCACCGTGTATATATTGTGAGAAGCAAATCCCAGTGGCTGGCTTGCCGCGGTTCACATTACTGGCGCACCGGATTGTGCCATACCGTCACAAAAATGGGGGGGGGGTAGGGGGAGGTGTTGGTTAGCTTGTACTTCTTGCGCTTCCCTAGAATGGCTTATTCCATTTATTCACGGGGTGTGAGGGGGGGGGAGATGAGGGTGAACTTGGTGGTGACCATGGGCAACTTGCGTTGGACGCAGCGAGTGCTGAATGCAAACGCCTTGAGATCGAATCGGGTGAGAAAGGCGGCTGGGGCCCAGCACCTGCCTGCCGGCACACTGGGCAGAGGACCGAGTCGAGAAGCTGACGCCATTTTTGTTAACGTCTATTTCGATAAACGCCCCACGCGAGTTTGGACATCGGACACAAATGCCAAGGTGGAGCTGAGAGCGTATGCTTTGGGTGCGTAGGTGAGCGTGTGGCGGTGGTGTGGTAATTCGGGTGATTTGAGGGGGGGGGTGTGGGAGGGAGGGGGGTAGGAGAGGGGGGGGTGATGGGAGGTGAGGGGGCAGCCACTTGAGCAGCGTCCATAAGCAGCGTCGCGGTATCGGATACTGCAAGCTGTCCATTCCTGCCCTATTCTTGGCATGCTGGCACCTGAGGCTCGGTGAGCAGCTGTTGCCGGAGGCCACGAGGCCACTCGGAGCCCCGGGGGAGCGCAATAAGCGAGACCGGCAGATGGGCAGAGAGCGAGCGTAGGCAGCAGTGGAGTATGCAGGCGGTGCAACTGCACCGGGCACCACAGGCTACACAGGGGCCCCGTGCACTCGGAGGCTATGGACAGGAGAACGTTTGATTCCTTGCACCAGGGCTCATGGCGACCGAGTTATGCCACAAGGGAGAGCGGAATGAATAAACAGCAAAAGTAAAGTGGGAAACAGAAACGGGCCAGATTTAAATTGGAGGATGTGCTTCCGGACATCTGTAAAAACAAGCTTCATAGCTCATCGGATTGCTCCAGTATAAATAAAAGACTGATACTGAATATCATTGATATTAAATTGCAAAAAATCAATTCACATGCGCCGGGGTTCAAGGTGTGCGTCATGACCAGCATTTGGGAATCGGCGGCGAGTTTGCTTGCTTAAAAAAAGGCTGCGTGATCAAATTGGTCTGGAAAACCGATTGGCTGATGGACTGAAAGATTTTTTTTATTTATACACGGAGACAAGCAATGGATTTCTTCTTCAAATAAGCTTTTATCCAAGAATGGGAACGGAGAGAGTTTTCTGAGGCTAACGATACAAAACTGGATAAAAACAAACTCATTTCAATTAAAAATGTTTTTATGAAATTTTAATTTAAATAAAAAGTCCTTTCTAATCGGAGGAGAACAGCAAAGACTGCTGTGACTTCTTTTTCCCAAAATATTTTTCATTGCTTTAATGCGACTTTCTACCTGAGCTCTGCCTATCTATATATGTAAAAGGCTACGGATGTCTGCAATAGCTCAGTGTCTGAAGACAACCAGAAAGAACCCAGAAATTAACAATTGTGTCTTTAGAGAAATCTTTGATAAAAAAAAGTAATTAAACGCGTGAATGTTGAATCAAGATCTGCTAGATCGGCGTATGCTATGCCAGGTACAGCTAGTTTAATACATTTTCCTACAAGCCTGCCTATTGACCTTTGACCCCTTTGTCGATCATGTGACAGGTTGGCTACCATGATGGTTACCATGGCATCTGCATACCCGGCCTACCAGCAGGTCCATGCCAAGCCTCCGCCCCCTGTGCCACCCCCCAAGCCCAAGAAAAAGGTCAAGTTCCTCAACTCTGTCAACAAGGACAGCAAGAAGAGCGACAAGAACCATGAACACGGAGTCAATCATCACCAACATCATCATCAGCACAACCAGCACCACCCCCGCCATCGGCAGCACCAGCATCAGCAGCAGCTGCCAGATGACATCTTGGAGGTGGAGGAGCCGGAAGACGGCTCTGTAAAAAACAAACGGGAGGCCCCAGTTGTTGTCGTGGTCAACAGCGAGATCCGGCAAGAAGTCGGCGACAATTCAGCGCAGGTGCGGCTGATTCCGGTTATTGAGACTGAAGTGGCGGTGGACGCCGAGGAACCGGTGATTGCCAGGCCTCCTGTCCGTGCCATTCAGTCGACGCCGCCGCCACGGCCGCCGTCAGCCGAACCATCAATGGTAGAGAATGCCGGCAAGACCCAGGAGAAGCAGAAGCCAAAGACTCTACCGAAACCGGCCAAGAAGGGACTTGGCTGGGCACGTCTGAGGAAGCACCTCATTGTGCAGGAGCCCGAGAATGCCGGCACCGGGGACGGCCAAGCTACGACTGGCAATGAAAAGCCCGGCGAGGCCACCACCGCCGCTTCCCCTTCCCAAACGGAGATGCAGCGGGCCATCGTGCCTCCGCAGAGCCGGGGGATGGGCAAGCGGTGGGACTCGGTGCTGTCTCAGCTGTTTGCGGCACGTGCCGAGCACCAGCGCCGCAAGGAGCAGCGGGAGAAGCGAGGAGGGGAGCCCGAGGGCACCGGTCACCGGGCCTACAAGGGCCGCCTGCCGCTGCTGCTGTTCGGCCCGCGCTTCGACGCACGGAAGCTCCGCGAGGCGGCATCACGGCCCGCCAAGAAGCTCGCCACCTTCGTCTTCGACCTGGGCCTGGCGCGGAGGGCCGCGGCAGCCGTCTGCGATGACGATTCCGCCACCGCCGCCGCCGCCACCGCCGACGCGGTCGCCACCAACAAGACGTTCAACCGCTCGGCTCGCGGTTGGCAGACTGATGAGGTGGCGGCAGCGGCATTGGTGCCAGCCGCCAGCGAGTGATGGAGACGACGGCGGATTCGGGGACGGTCCTCGGCAAAGCCCCGTCGGCGGCGGTGATCGATCGCGCGGAACCTAGTCATGCCGAGTCTTCTGCGAATTCGGCGACGTTGGGGCAAAGTGTGAGGTTTCTTGGCCTCGTGCAGCTGAGCTGACCATACTAACCTTGGGTCAAACAAACGAGTTATTGTTCGGGGGCAACGACGCTGTTATTATATTGTTGGGTCAGAATCGTACGAAATTCAATTTAGCTTTGGGCTGTTTTATATCTACATGCAGTGTGGTCGCACATACCTGGTAAGGTGATAGGTGATAGCTTAAAATCCGTGAAATGTGAATATTAACCCTATTGATCAGTTCAGGCCACTGCCAATTTTCACCCAAGTGAAAAAACTACCCGAGCGATTGACAGCATAAAAGCCAAAGGGTTGTTATTGAGTTGGATTTGCAGTTCGTGAAGAAGGTAACGACTGAAATCATGAGGGAAACAGAGGTGAAGTAGAGCTATGGATAGGTGAAGTGTGTCAGTGATGAAAGGAAAACTGGCACCAAAAGAATGCTCGGTGGTAATGTATTCAGTTGATAAGCACTTCTCGGCCTAGTAAAGAAAACTGCGATTATATTTGTTTTCTTTTGTTCCCACACCTTTTTCGGAAACCACGATGCCAATCCGTCGCGCGCTGTTGTAAGCCTTCTTCAAAATAAGAGCAGCACGTTACATCGGTAACGAGTGTCAATCAACAGTGATATCGGCCAAAGGCAGAGCCGACGTCCGATGTCCGTTTCACGCAACTTGTTGGGGTTCGCACCCAAGGCCGGGGCGCTGCGTCGTCGAGTCGTCAGGAGCCTCGCGTCCAACTCGAGGTGAACTTGCCAAGCGTGTCGGTGCTCCTTGCATGCCCAAGATGTGCAGCACGAGACGTCCCCACAGTCACCACACAACGAAGCCGGCGTCGCGTGGTAGAGGAGAGATCGTCGCAGCCAGCCAATTGCATTGATGCCGCCATGCCATCGCTTCCTTCCTTCCTTCTGTTAGGTCCTGCACAGCTTTTGCCTGACCTTGAAGGATCGCTCTTACAGCCTCTGCATTGGGTGACCTCTGGGCTGCCACTCCACAGTGCCTGTCGGTCATGGTTGGTGGTTTGACCACTCGCCAGCGATGTTAGTAGTGGCCAGGAATCGAACTTGGGTCACCGGGCTCTAGAGTAATATGCACAAAGTATGCTAATTTGGATATTATTTACTTGCATGAAGATATTGCTATGTAAACAGAGAGACAACTTGAGTTAAACTTGGAATGTTGCTACGTATTTATTTTTGAAAGTGTATTGAATTAGATTTTCCGGCAATGTGCTGCGACGCGTGACTTTAGAGGCTGGGAATTTGCTCGAACTCAAAAGTTCATGGTTTTTCAGCCGCTTTGGAATCCTGGACCACACACCTTACACTTGGTGCTATGAATCCCAA